GTACAGTCTTTAAATTGAACATTGAAAAGATAGTAGAATTTTTAAGATCAGGATCACGCTAAGAATAGATACATTGAATTATGGTTCAGAGGGTTTTTTTTTTTTTTTTAATGAATGTTACTGTATTGCCATGGGCAGGTCACTTAATTTAATTCTTAGGCCTTCTTTGTGAAATTAGAGTTTTAGTGTTTCTGTTGCTTTTCTCATATTTGTTTTTTATATAAACAATGCTGTGTCTCCACCATCTCAGGAACACCATAACTAAGACTCCTAGTCTTGCCTGATACCTTGCGGGGGTGTGTGTGTGTGTGTGTGTGGTGTGTGTGTGTGTGACCTCATACATACACAATGTATTCACATATGTACATATTCTATCGTCATTTTTTTATACATACATACTTAAGATAATGTTAATTTATAAATTGAATGCAGTAAAAGATATACAATAACTAATAATAAATAGAACAATTATATAAAACATTCTGTAATAAAAATGTGAATGTGGTTTCTCGAGTCAAGACAGATATTAATATTGTCATACTGCAGTTGACTGAATAAGTAAAGTTGCAGAAATCCAAACCATATATAATGGGAGACTACTAAATGTCAAAGTGTCTTAAAGCAAATAAAGATCCAAGTAAATTGCTTCGCTCTACAGTAGTATACTATAAAATGATATAAAACATTTGCATTAAATTATAGAGATAGACTAATTATATCCATTTAAAATAGCATTTGTAGCATATTTGTATGAAGGATTTTTTAATTTGTCTCTTTCTCCACTTTCTTAGAAGTTGATGGATAGGTTTGATTTTGGGGACGATTCTGAGCATAGTGAAGAACCCAAAAAGGAATTCCAACTCTCAACTGTAAGATTACATTTTCTTATAACCATGATTTCTTTTTCTGTTGTATTGTTATGAATATTGGGCGAGATGGCTGCCATCTGAACCACAAAGTATACCTTGACCAAGTTGGGGTTATTTAGCTATGAGCTCTTAATATTATAAAAAGAGGGAGAGTTGCCTTTTTATCGCATCTTTGATTATTTGGACTCTTTTTCCAGACCTTTGCAAATAGTTGGAATGTTCAAAGTTCTTATAGGAAAATTGATAAATATTGGTAAGTCTAGTTATGACACTTTCTATGTTTCTGTTGGCTTTAAATTATTTAATTCAGTTGTGAGAATATAGCACTGTAAGGACAGAACTTGCTTCTAGTGTCAAAGTCAACTCCTAAAAAATGTGCCAATTTCTTGAAAGTGCATCAAGCTAACCAGAAATAGGGACTGGGGTTATATGGATTCTATATTTTTATTTAAATGACTATATTTTTCCCCCTAAATAATTTTGCTGAGCCCTAGGTTCTAAAGAACATATGAAAAGACCAGTAGGAGGAGGATGTGGGAGAGTGGGAGGTAGAGGTTGGGAGAATGGAAGAGAGAGCATGAATGATGAAAGCCTCTAGGATTGTTATTTCAAAAACAGGTTATATATTAAATATATAGTTACGGGATATATAAATGTACGTACATACTCTGTGTTAGAGATTTTCCTTAACAAAATTAAAAACTAGTAATTGTGATTATAAAGTTGAAAGGAACATTTGAGAATGTAAATCAGTGTCCTAAGCAATGTAAGAATCTCCTTTAACAGTCTGATAATTATGTATGCAATATTTTAATGCCTCCCAAGACAAGAATTTAAGTAATTATTGTTACTGTGTGTTCTTTTGTTAAACTGAATCCCATCTTTATTTTCTACACACTGATTCAAACTTTGTTTGCTTTCTGAAGCGAGGAAAAAAAATTTTACTCCATTATATTCTGAGATGTAGCTTTTTCACTATCTGAAGATAGGTATCATTCTTCCCATAGGTTTATTTGCTCCAGATGAAGCTCAGTTTTTTCATCTGTTTCAAGGCTTCTCACCATCCTGCTTACCCCTTTTGGGATGCCCTCTTTTTTGTTCATGTCTTATGGCACCCAGAATTCCAGGTGTATTCCAGATGTGAATTTCCCAGAGTATAGTTAAATTGTTGTTTTCTCTATCTAAACACTATTTCTGTTAACATGTCTAATTTTGTATATGCTTTTCTAGAGGAAGCATACTAATTTTTTAAAGTTTATGGCCAATTATAATTGTAGATTTTACACATACAGATTGATAGAACATTTTCCCTGTTTCATAGTTAGGAAAGAAGTTCAAGTGACTGTTTAAATACTTTTAACTTTTTAGAAGTGTTTTATTGAAATTTTCTTAAATGCTCTAATGAAAGTCACTAATTATATGTAGTTTGTATGAGGTAATAATATTAGATCTTCACAGAGACTCTCTGTTATGTATTTATTGAAACACTGTTGAATACATTTCTCTTTCAAGGTATTAATGCTATGAAGTATTCTGTTTTGGGTATTAATATTTTTAGAAAGAAGCATTGTAATAGAGTATGTTATGTTATATTGGCATTTTTTTGTTTTCTTTGAATACTCCTTGTTTTCGTATTACTTTAATAGGTTTAAAATATATTTCCACCTGTTTTCCTTTTTAGTTCTCATGTTTCAGAATCTGTGAACAATTCCATTTTTCATCAGATAGCAGAACAGCTACAACAGCAAAACCTTGAGCATCTCAGACAGCAGCTCCTGGAACAGCAACAGCCTCAAAAGGTTCATAACCCCACCTTGTGGTCCTTGGCATTATTGCTGTCTGTGTTCTGTAAATTGGCATTTTTGTGTGGTTGTTGGTTGTGTTTGTTCATTTCTGATCTTAATATTTTCTCATCTGTTACAGTTTTTGCCAGCCACTTTATTTCCTTTCTAAAGTATGGTGGTATTCAACTGTTTATTACTATACAGATTAGTCTTTTTCTGTAATCAAAATGTGTTGTAGCAACTTAACGGATCCGTATTGTAGATATTAATTTCTACAGTATACTGGAAGGAGAGAGCAGAAGACAGGTGATGTTTCAAAATTATCACTTAAAACTCCATGTATTTTCGTATCCTCTCTGTTCCCTATCCTGCAAGGTAACTTGCAGGTAACTGCAATTGCATTATTGGTAATGATGGTAACAAAACAGATTGCTCTTTAATTTTAGAATTTTAATTGCTACTACCATGTGACAGAAGCTTTCTTAGGCATGCAGGAGACATAGTTAACATTTAATTCTCATGAGGTAGGTATTAAGATTCCTCATTTTTACTCCAGACTTGAAGTTGAACCTTAGTGAGATTAAACGTCCAATTAAAAAGCATACAGCCAAATTTCACTATCATCATTATAATCTGTAATGCTATTTCTCTGCATTCACTTTCTTCCTTTGCTAATTATTGTAAAGTATATTCCTCTGTCACTTTTCTTCCTTTTGCCACTATGGGCAGTAACTTAGTCTGAATTTTCCATTATTCCAGGAAGATAAAAACAGACTACAAAGATGATGTCTCTTAATCTTTATCTTGAAATATAATGCAGTATTTTTGGTATTGCATTAAAAGTGAATGTATTTCACTATTAAATCATACTTCTCAACAGTTTGATTTTTTTTCTGTTTTGACATAATGGGGAATAGTAGATGAATAATCATGAATAATAACTAGATAATTCTTGGGAATGATGAAATAGCAAAAGGTTTCAAAATACAATCTTTTCATATAGGTAAAACTGGTCAAAAAAGAAAGTCAAAAGTTAAAATTGGTTGCAGTGGATCCTGATAGTTATTCCAGGATTTACCTATTAAATAGTTAATTAAGAATGCAATGCAAGGTTGGTAGGATTAGATATGGAACTTGCGATAAGTGATGAAGTAAAAAATAAATTTTCTGAAGAATAGATGACCCCTGAGTTGAGACTGAATAATAAAACTTAGGATGAAGTTGTGTTGCTAAGAATTCTGTTGTTTTTTCACCATTTAAGCCAGGGCTGTGGTTAAAACATGTTTGATTTGTTCTCGAAGATTATACTTATATTCTTTTGACCAATATTGTGGCATAGAGGGTCTCTGTCAATTCGAACTTTAGCTTTAATGTATTTCTCAATTTTGGAAATGCTGTCTGTTCCTTCGTGAGTTGAGGGACTTAGAACTGTTTCTTAAAACTGTCTTTACCCTCTAACTTTTATGCTGCTTTTCTTACTTCTAGTTTAAACGTTAACTGTTTGTAAGAGTTACATATTTTGAACTGCCTTGTGAACAAATTGCTGCTCTAAGTGGTTTGATACAATTCAAAAATGACAGAAGTCCTGATCTTGCTTTAAGATTGTTTTTAAAAGGCACATAAAATACTCAGTTTTAGTACGTTTAATGATATTGTTGAAGAATGCTAAAAACTCTTAGTTTAGAAAAATCATATACACTAAGGTGATTTACATCTACAGTAAATTGCATGAAACAACTTCTTAAAGATCACTCTGGCACATTTATCCCATTATTGAATGTGTGTTTGAAATTCCCCAAATAAAGTGGGGTTTTTTGTTTTTTTGTTTTTCTGGTGTGGGGTTTGAACTCAGGGCCTCATGCTTGCTGGGCAGACTAAAGTGTTTTGTTTTTTTTTTTTAAACAAAACAAAATAAAAAAGAACTCTGGAAATTATTATACAACTGAAGCAAAATTAAATGGTCTATCTAATCTTGTTTCTTGTTTTTTTGATAGTGAGGATACCAATTACCTAAATGATTTATAGAGCTGTGCGCCAGTGGCTTGTGCCTGTAATCCTAGCTACTCAGGAGGCAGAGATCAGGAGGATCACAGTTCTAAGCCAGTGGAGGCAAATTCTACGAGAACCTATCTCAAAAAAAATCCTTCACAATAAAGGGCTGGTGCAGTGACTGGCTCAATGTGTAGGCCCTGAGTTCAAACCCCAGCACCACAAAAAAAAAAAAAAATTTATAGGAATAGAGATAAAATCATATCTTAATATCCAGTTGGACATTACCACAATAAATAAAAACACCTATTTTATGTTAGCCAGGGCTGATGGCTCAAGTGATGGCCTGCCTACCAAGCGTGAGGCCTCAAGTTTAAACACCAATACCACAAAAAAAGAAAAAAAAAATCTGTATTCGTTGATATATTGTCTTTGTGTTCTTATAGAATATCTTCTTTATTGCCTTTGCAATTCTAAATTGTAGGTAGGCATTTGTATTTTTCTTAGAATAAAACTCCAAGTTAATTGGAAATAGTAGCTCCTAGTTGTTCTTTTCGATCATAGTAGTTCTTAGCTATGGATCACCAGGAATTGCTTTTTACTGATCTTAGATACCCACAAGATTTAATTTTAGATTTTGTGTACCAGGTCATTTTTTTCCTCCATAACAATCAGTTTTCTTTCCTTTAAAAAAAAAATTAAAACAGTATAATACATGTAATTGTTAATCAGGTTCATATTCATTGAGATCAGGTAAGGATTATCTCCGTATCAAGTTGCTCTAATTCTTATCCTAGGAAGAAAGAGTTTTACATTTTAAGTGTTCCTATAATTTAGGCTTCATTACCTATGTTTTATTAGAACTTTCAAGCTGTTTACATATCTCAAAATACTTCCTATTACTGTTATTCTATGAGTTCTTAAAGAAGTTTAGAAAGACCCAAGGTGAGAATGGTTTTGTTAGATCAGTGATTTTTGTAGTGATGTGAGTTTTGTTTTCCTCTATACATTTAATAGGTGATTATAATTTTTGAATATAAATATTTTATTGAACTTTTCATTTATGCTATTTTTACTAATGCCAATTATCAGTGAAATTACAGATTTATTAATTTACTGCAATTAAATATCATTTATGATCTAATCCCTTTATTAATCTTCCATAGCTTGTATTTTCCATGCTTAAAAAATTGACTTGGGAAATCCAACTTCATCTAACCATTCTACTCAAATATTATAATCCCCTCCTTAAATTTCCTTGCTTTTAAGTAAACTTGGGTTATATAAAACTACAGTTTTAGGTTGGTTATTTTATAAGTGATATAACATGAAGTTTATGTATTGGACTCCTTTAAAACATTTAATTGTTATGTTTGCTATGTGTAACTTTTCATTTATAATAAAAATTATCTTGTTACGTTTTTGTGTTCTCAATAGGCAACGCCTCAGGATAGTCAAGAAGGAACATTTGGGTCAGAGCATTCAGCGTCACCATCACAAGGAAGCAGCCAGCAGCACTTTCTCGAACCTGAAGCAAATTTGGATGATTCCATAGATATTCAGCAACAGGTAAGTGATTTTCTGAGTTACACATTTCTGAAATTATTGAAAGAAATATATAATGGTAACATCTAATGTGTTTCTCTATATGTGAACTTCACTCTTTAGCTGTTCTACATATTCAGATGTTAATGCTAAATGCTACCTGTGAATATTTTTAAAGGCAGAATTGCCAGTATATGAGTAATCTAAACTGGGCTTTTTCTTTGACTTTCAAGGACATGGATATAGATGAAGGGCATGATGCAGTGGAAGGGGAGATCTTTGAACAAGAAGCTAAGAAAGTGGCTGTTCGCTCAAGATCAAGAACTCATTCCCGATCTCGTTCAAGGTTCTTAATGTTTAACAGTAGCTGTGTGTGAACTTTTAAAATGTTGGCTTTATTTCCTTCATTAAAATTAAAAGAGCTGGGTGCTAGTGGCTCATACCTGTAATTCTAGCTACTTGAGAAGCTGAGATTCAAGAGAATCCAGGTACGAGTCAGCCAGGGCAAAAAGTTCATGAGACCCCCATTTCAACCAGTTGCTGGTGTAGTGGTGTGCACCTGTTATCCCAAGCTATGCTGGAGGCTGAGATAAGAGGATCCTCATTCCAGGACAGCCTGGAAAAAAAAAAAAAGTTTCCGAAGCCCCGTCTTAGTGGAGAAAAGCTGGGCATGGTGGCATGTGTTTGCCACCCCTCAGTGACTGTAGAAAGTGTACAATAGTAGGATCACAGTACAGGCCATCTTGGGCAAAAAAAAAAGTGAGAATCTATCTCCAAAATAACCAGTACAAAAGGGCCGGAAGCATGGCTCAAGCAGTAGAGCACTTGCCTCGAAAGTAAGTAGACCCGACTTGAAACCCCACTACACTGGGGGAAAAAACATTAAAAGAAATATTTTTCTTCAAATGATTTTTGTAATATTCTTAAAATCCTAAATAGATGGTAACATTTGTTCATATGTCTACGATTCGTTTGTGTAATTTATGTAACAGTAATAGCTGTATCAGGAGAATGGGATGCTGGATTATACTTGATTTTCATTAATACTAGAACATCTAACTAGTTAAGAATATTATTGCCTCCAAACAACAAGCTACATTTGTAACATTCCAATTTACCTAATAATGGTAACAAAATGACCCCCAAAACACTTCACAAAAGTTGTTTTTACAAATGTTAAGTATATCACCAAGCTATTAGGAAACATCTTTGATAAATGTTATACGTGGACTTAAAGTGCTCAGTCTTCAGCATTTTTCTCCTACCTTTTGCACATGAATGCTCTTGAAAATCTGTACAGAAAATGTTGGAAGTGTTTCAACATTCTTCTTTTGTAAAAGTCAAGAACCTTAAAGTTTTGGAAGTCGAAAACTACCAAGCAGAATTATATAGTGACCTAATACTCTGTTGGAAACAGACTCTTGGTGTACGTAGCAATCTTTCTGTATTAATATTTTTGTCACATAAGTGGTCTGTTTTCTTGGTCTTCATTGTTGTTCTTGATTCCTATTTTAAAATGAACTGGAATACATTAAGAAAAAGGCCATTTTCTTGAATCTCATTTTCCCTTCTTCCTGCTCATTGTGAACAATCACCTGGAATCAAAATCTTGATTGTACTAGGAGCTAAATACAAGATAGACTTTTTGCTACTCACTTATAATTGAGAGATTTGACAGAAAGATAACATTGTTATTAGAAGTAAATTTAAAAAATTTTTTAGATCACCAAGAAAACGAAGGTCCAGGTCACGATCTGGTTCTCGAAAGCGTAAGCACAGAAAGCGATCACGTTCCCGCTCGAGAGAAAGGAAGAGGAAATCATCACGTTCATACTCAAGTGAAAGGAGAGCCAGAGAAAGGGAAAAAGAACGACAGAAAAAGGGATTGCCACCAATTAGATCTAAAACATTAAGTGGTAAGTAACATACTTTCATAAGACTTTGGTCTCAATATTAAGAACTAGTTTTCTGCTACAAAATTTCTCAACCAAATTTTTTTTGATACTAAGAAATTGAAAAGATCTGGTAAGTAATTTTGTCCCAGGTACATTATATTCAAAATACTAAGGTTATTAAGAATTTACTTTTTTAAAATAATTTACTTGTGATTCATAGAGCTAATATGTACAGCATGATACATTGATTTCTGTCCATACTATAGTAACCAGTTAGAGCATTGAGGTCTGTAGGAGTAATTATTATACGAAGCACATACTTTACTATTGTTACTTGTTTGTTACTGCTGTGCTAGGTTTAAAAGAACCCTGGACTTGGACATGCGAAGCAAATGCTCTATCAGTCAGTGAGCTCAGTGAGCAGTGAGCTGCATCCTCAACCCAACTTTACTGTATAGAGTTTTTTAAGCATATTATAAACCTGTGAATCAGTATGAAAGGAGAAATTCCTATTGTATACAAACTTTTTCTGTTTTGGTATGTTGATCTATTACATTTAATTAGAACAGATTTGGTCATGATGGGTTTTGTTTTAGGACCAGAATAAGTAGAAATGTTAATTACAGCAATATAAGTTTTATTTCCAGCCAGGCACAGTGGCCCAGGCCTGTAATCCTAGCTGCTCAGAAGGTAAAGAGCATGAGGGTCATGGATGGAGGCCAGCCCAGGCAAAAAGTTCGCAAGACACCATCTCCAACAGTGGCTGCGTAAAGTGGGACAGGCCTGTCATCCCAGCTTTACCAGGAAACACAAATGACCTCAGTCCAGGCTGGCCCAGGCATAAAGTGAGGTCCTATCTCAAAAGTAACTCATACAGAAAGGGCTGCCAGCAAGTGTGAGTCCCCAGGTTCAACCCTTAGTACTGAAAAAAAAAAAAATGGTTGTAATTCTGCCTTGGGGATTCTTAATGGGTTATAATCTAAGGTGAACTAACAGACTACAGGTGGGCAAAGAAATACAAAATATTATCAATTGTGTATATGTGTGATACATATATGTGTGTGTGTGTATTTTTTTCCCCCTCAAGAGCTAAACATTGAACATGTTGCCTATTTCCCAAGGTCTCCAAATAAATTCCTTCTGCAAGGGGGAGAAAATAAGTAATTAGTGTAATTACACTGGTAGAGTGTCTTCAAACCTAGATCTACAATAAAAGGTAACAGCCATCTTCTTGGTGATAAGTTTTGGCAATGTAATAGGCCTTGGCTATCTTTCCAGAATTTGTCTGTTAGGAAAACTTGTGTTAATTTAATTTAATAATACTGATATTCCTAGCTTTCTTTTTGTCTCTTATAAGGGACTAAATCTAAACATTTTTGTGTTGCCCAATAAAGAAATAACATCCAAGGTTTGACCACAAGAGACTATTAACCTTCTGTCATGATCACCATTAGGATGTTCAGAATCATTAAAAGAGTAGGACTTCTCTGTAGAGTGTCTTTCCTTTAGCTCTTCAGCTAACTTGTCATGTTACTGCTATCACTGTTTACATAGTTAGTGACCATGGAATCTATTTTCTTTTTTAAATGTTATTTTTAATTAAACCTAATAATATATATATTTATGGGGTGTAATGTAATATTTCCATACATGTATATAATCTATAATGATCAAATCAGGGCAGTTAGCATATCCATCACCTCAAACAATTACCGTTTCTTTGTGTTGAAAACATTTGAAATTGTTCATCTCTTTTGAGATGACACAATAAATTTTTAATGTAGTCACCCTGCTATAGAACACCAGAGCTTACTCCACTTTTATCTGACTGTATGTATTTTTGTACCTGATCCTCAGCTTCTTTCTATCTCACCTTCTCATATCCTTCCTAGCCTCTGGTAACCTCTGTTCTGCTCTCTACTGCCATAAAGTCAACTTTTTTTTTTAGCTTCCACTTATGGGTGAGAACAAAAGGCATTTGTCTTTCTATATTTCACTTAACATGATGTTCTCCACCATCCATCCATGTTCCCACAAATGTCAGGATTTCATTCCTTTTTATGGCTCATGGACCAAGGAATTTATTTTCTTTTGCTAATTTATTTTCATTAAGTAAAACACTGTAACATAAAAAATTCAGAAAGCACATAAGAAAATACAGGAATGTATCTCCCATTTTTTACAACCTAACTCTCCTTAGTTTGATGCAGTAGCAGTTTCCTGTGATCAGTCATGTCAACACATTTTACATACATGTGATAGTGTTCCTCACTATTGGTCCTTGACATGGATTTGAGAACACAGGTTTTCATGAACAGTCCAGAGGTTACGAAGCATCAACACACAGTAACTTTCCAGAAATCAAGTGTCCTCTCTTTGGGATGAGGAAGAATTCCTAGGAAAAAAAATTATAGGACAGTAATAATACAAAGACTTAGGACACATGGAGCACAATTTGGTGAGTGAAGACAGCTAGAATATGCAGGACAGAGTAATAAAGAAGCAGCAGCTATTCAAAGAGCTCCAGAAATTGGCTAAGGGTTTGTGGTAGTTTGAATAATGACTTTGGCAAAAGGTGTTTACATCAAAGTCACTGAAACTTCTAAAGCCACTTACATTACATAATATGTTGGTGACAAAAATACCTGAAATAATAAATTTAATAAGGGTTTTTGGAGAGATGGAAAATTCTGTTGAATGTTAATTATATATGCATAGGGTGAGACTACATGAGACAAAGAATAGCTAGCAGGAAAAGATCAATTACCAGGTGTCTTTTAACTAAATGATTCCTAAACCTTGCACAGGTCTGGAAGATGTTTGAGTTCTGATCAGCCAAAGTGGAGACACCTGGTAGTTATCTTGCCATGGACCCTCGAGTAAAGTCTGATCTAGACCTGCCCTTTCAAGATCAAAATGCTGGCCCCTTGTTTTTGAAAGTAATATTGACATAAATCCAAATACACTGTATTAAAACTCTGTAAATGTATCAGCTGTAAATATTTTCCAAATGTTTCAGTAAAAGGAAGTATTAAAGGAGGCATGAACAACAGTATGGCTAAAAGTTTGCAAGACACACATTTTCAGTATTTGTTAAAAGAACTGGCCTTCAACAGTTAAGTATCTTCAGGTCTTTCATGATAACTGTGCAAAGTATTTCCTTTTAAATATACTGTAGGTGGTACAATTTTCAGATTTATCTTTTGATTAAGGAGAAGCATCCAGTAGTCATTCCATCAGTGAAAGATACTTAAAAGGTTCACAGGTAGGATTGTGGTAGGAAGTAGGTTTGGAACGTTGTTGTACAATAGAATTACCTGGGGAACTTCAGTTTCACAGTGTGGCATACCTCATACCACTCCTCATATCCTAGAGTGCAACATGGGCATCCACAGGTATAATGAAGCTTGAGTACAGGTGACGTGCAAAAAGAGGTTGACTCAGTGAAAATTTGAGTGCATACCTGGGATTTCAGGAGTTTAATGTAACATATAAGTGTCCATTAACAAATACTTTAAATCTTACATAAGCTATTGTTACTGGTAGTTTTACCTCAGTGACTTGAAAGAGCTGTCTGATTTAGGTCATTTGTCTTTTATATCTCAACAGTGTGTAGCACTACACTCTGGGTTGGTCAGGTGGACAAGAAGGCAACACAGCAAGATTTAACCAACCTTTTTGAGGAGTTTGGACAAATTGAATCTATTAATGTAAGTATTGGTTTTTAAACAATAGGGTTAAAAAATAGGGAGTTTTTACTCATGCAGGAAATCATTTCAGTTCCTCGTGGAGCCCAGTAGTATGGCTTCATACGATAGTGTTTGTGAGAATTCTTTACTCAGTCGTTTCTGTGCTTTCTCTGAGGCTGTTTAGGTCCTTAGTTAATTTTTCCTTTTTATTGAAATTCTAGTGAAAAATTGATAGCAGTTTTATAGCTGTGTAGCACTTAATTCCTTAAAAACATCAAATGTTTTAGTTAGCAGGAACCCTACGTGTGACTTGCTAAATTTCCCCTTTTTTTTTTCTCATGTATATAAGGAACTCAGCCCCACAGAATTGTAATCACTTGCAGATGAGCACTTAGTAGTAGAAACAAACAGAACTTGGTATCCCAGTCTCTCTTTTGTTCTTTTCCTTCAGTTCCTCCCCTCCCCTTTAAATTCTTACCAAAGTACCAGGGACCCACAGGAGATTGTCATTACTCTGAACAGACATGATAGCATTTGGGGTATTCTTGTTCCATTGAAAATTTGTTTGCTTATTTTCCTTATTACTTTTGGAGAGCTTAGTAATTACAAATCTAATAGGCACTAAATTATTTTGTGAACTGAATGGCTGATGGCATAATCCAAATTTAAAAAGTTGGAAAACTGCAGTGTACAGTTTCCTAAATTAATACATTAAGGATAATTTTATAATCTGGTAGTTTATAGACTTGCTTAAATGCTTCCTAAGTCTTCAGATTCTTACATAGGCTATTTTTGTATTCGTGCACAAATCTTTTATGCAGAAGCACTTGGACAAAATATAAAGTTTTATAAACTGAAATATTTAATTTTATCATCGGTGTTGTTCACAGATTTTATATTAAAGAGATGATACTTCACCAAAACAAAAACCCAATAGTAAATATATCATTTGGAAAAATTGAAATATGCTAGGAATAAATCATTTGCCATGAAATACTTTGGCTATATAGTGTTATTTCTCTTTTATCTGGTGGTATTTTGTATATGGACATACACATTCTTTTGTTTTAATTGTTTTTTATTTTGTGTTGAAGAAACTCTTAAATTTGATGGCTTAAATGAAACCAAACTAGGTTTTAAATTTGGGTGTTTTTTAAACCCAAATTAATTAATTGTGCATGAATTGTACCAATAAACAGCTGATGAAAGAAAAGGGGAAATGAACCAAAATTGAATTGGAGCATTAGTCAGTAGACAAAGTACTTTGTGCCACTAAAAACCATAAAATTCCAGAATGAGTTTCCATCCTTACTCTTCTTTTAAAAAAAAAAAAAAATTTTTTTTTTTTTTTTTTTTTAATAGATGATTCCTCCCAGGGGCTGTGCTTATGTCTGTATGGTTCATCGGCAAGATGCATTTCGGGCTCTTCAGAAACTGAGTTCAGGATCCTATAAAATTGGTTCAAAGGTTATTAAGGTGAGATTCTTGTGGCAAAGGATTTTAGTATTCATTATGTTAAAGTCTATGGTTTCCATAGGAAAAGTCCACATGCTCTTCTTTAATTGCATTATTAGAATTCTCCTACGTTACATTTTCTTTCTCTTTCCTTTTTTGGGCGCATGGTGGTTTCTTGAGCACACTAAACACATGCTATATCAGTGAGTTAAATTTTCAGCCTTGGCTGGGCACTGGTGGCTCACTCCTGTAATCCTAGCAACTCAGAAGGCAGAGATCAGGAGGATCATGATTTGAATCCAGCATGGGCAAATAGTTCAAGAGCTTCTATCTCTAAAAAACCCTTCACAAAAAGGGCTGATGAATTGGCTCAAGGTGTAAACCCTGAGTTCAAGACCCAGTACCACAAAAAAAAAAAAAAAAAAAACACTTAAGTCTGATCTTTTTTTACTCTTATAGACAGACCTTATCAGAAACTTAAATGTTTCTTTATTGTTGAGTTACAGAATTAGATATAGGTGTAAAATAACCCTAGTATCCAAAAATTTTAATGAAATTTATTTGATCATTTATACAATTATCTAAGTCAATTAGGGCAGTATTTTATGACTGGACCTTTTTTTTTTTTTTTAATTGTACTAATGGTACATTGTGACATTTACAAAAGAACTTGCAGTATGTGTTTAGTTAAATTCACCCCCTCCATCATTCTCACTTATCCTCATTCATGGAATAGTATAAACAGGTCTCATTTTTCCATTTCCATACATTAGTACATAATATTTCCACCATACTTACCCCCCAACACCCTTTCTTTATATCCCCCCTTCCCCCTGGTGCCAAAACCCAGACAGGACCTGTTTTACCTTCCAGTTCTCTGTTTTTGAAAAAAAGACATTTTTGTTTTTATAAGATAGCATACACACGGAGTTTCATTGTGATATTTCCCTGTATATGTGTATTATAACCCAAATTGGTTCATTCCCTTTATTGCTCTCCTTTCCAACTTAGTCCTCTTCTCCTGGTGATTTCAACAGATTTCAAAATTCTATATTCATTCTTGTATAGAAAGTACATCAACCATATTCACCTTCTTAACTTCCTTCTTTTGCCCTTCTTCTGCCGTTAGTGACCTCCCTTAAGCGTGACCTGTTTTTCATAGTATTACTCATTGTATTGGACCTATATTCCACATGTGAGAGAAAGCATGTGGCCTTTGGCCTTTTGAACCTGGCTAACTTCACTTAAGGTGATGTTCTCCAGTTCCATCCATTTACCTGCAAACAACAGAGTAGAAATTTTTCATGTTTACAAGTTTGTCTTTACTTACTTTTCCTCCCAATACTTCATAATTACAGTTCCTGATTACATTATTAATTTCTTTATCACATCTTTCCTTATATAAGCCAGGCCCTTGAAGAGATTGTCTATAACAATTATTTTCCTCTTGGTCTTTAAGTTGAAAAATATTAAGTATTTTCCATTACTTCCTGTGATTAATTCAGTTTCTGCTATTTTGAGAGAATGTATACTTTCAGTTTCTGCAACTGAATTAAAAACTTCACCAATTTTCAGGGGAGTTAATGTATGCCTGTCTTTTATCATTTCGTGGCAAAGAGTTTCTCTGTGTAAGTTCAAGTATTGCTTATCTTTTTCCTGGTGTACAAGGTTTTGTGTAAATCACAATAGCTATTTTAATTATTACTCATGTAAATTGACAATTTTATGGTAACACTAGATTCAGATTATCTTTGGAAGTGTGTCATTTTAGAGTTACAGTAAGAATTTTGAACTTTTTACATTATTATTACAGTATGCATGTAAACTTTCTTTTTTCCTGTCTCTACTCCCAACAGATTGCTTGGGCTTTAAACAAAGGTGTAAAAACGGAATACAAGCAATTCTGGGACGTGGATCTTGGAGTTACATATATACCATGGGAAAAAGTTAAAGTGGATGACTTGGATGGTTTTGCAGAAGGAGGCATGATTGACCAGGAAACTGTAGATGCTGGTAAGAACCTTAAGGTCATTTTATTATTTATAAAACATGTATAGATGGCTGTAATTGAAATGAGTTTGGGATGATAGACTGAACGGTGTTTATTTCCTAGATTCAAATCAAAGGAAAAGAAACACTACTGTTTTGTTTCATAGGTGTTAAGATATAATTTACATAGTGTGGACTAGAAATATATAAATGTAGCAATTTTTTCATGCCATTTAAAAGAGAGCTGTGTGCCATCAAGGCTTATTAATACATATTTTAATTCCTTGAGTGTAAGTGGGAAGTGTAAGGGCTTGATAAACTTCTTGAAGATACTTTCCTTTTGAGTAGCACATGTGTTGTGAATGACAGGAGACAGAGTTCGTGCAGGGTGCTCTAGTTCAGGTTTGTGCTCTGTAATCTGTAACAAAACTTTCTAGAATGCCTTTTAGGATATCCACAACCAAATGATCATCTGACCTGCTGTTTTAGAAAAGCCACCCTTAAGTTTAAAGATTACGGGTATAAATTCACAAGTTGATGAGAAATGGTTAGTTTGAGAAGAATTAACTCAGAAGGTAACACACATGTACAGGAAATCAATGCATGTCAACTCCCTCTATAGCTATCCTTATCTCAACTAGCAAAAACCCTTGGTCCTTCCTATTACTGCTTATACTCCTCTCTTCAACAAAATTAGAGATAAGGGCAAAATAGTTTCTGCCAGGTAGCAAGGGGTAAGAGGGGATGGGGGAGGTGGGGCGGGGGGAAGCGGGGAGAAATGACCCAAACATTGTATGCACATATGAATAAAATAAAAATTAAAAAACAATAAATTCACAAGTTGATTAGCAGTTATATTAGAAGAAAACAATACCGTTGGTATTTGGAAAAGAACTGAAATATGATATAGATTGTATTTCTTTACATCTTAGCTTTCATCAAAATTAGCTAATTTTCAGAATATTTTAGTTTTCAGACCAATGAAAATATTTTCACACTTACGTTCTTTGGACTGGGAATGCAGCTCAGTGGCTGAACATGTACTTAGCACATTTGAAGCCCTGGGTCCTGGGTTCAATCCTCAGCACCACCACCAATACCAAAATTTTAAAAAAAAAGAAAATGTTTCTTCCCGTCAACACTCCTATGGATTTTTCTTCAGGATGTTCTTTCTTTCAGTAAATATTTTAGTTCCTCGTGTGTGCCAGGACTAATTGTAGGAACCGGAATTAAGGCAGAGAGAGTAAAAGCAAAAATTATTCTTGTAGTGGAGCACAGGAGTGGACAACCATGGACCTATTTCTGCCAGTATCCTGTTCTGCAGAAATAGTTTTATTGAAATATAGCCGCACTCACTTGTTTACTTATTTATATGACTTATTTTTTTGCGATAGCAATTGTATAGTTACAACAGCATGTACCCCACAAAGCCTGTAATACTTAAAATAGAAAAAGTTCTATTAGAAAGCAATAGTTAATAAATTATACAAACTGTATAGGATTTCTGTGTTGAAAATTTATCAAAGGAAAAGGGAAGGGAGATGAGCAATATGAGAAAGGTATTACAGTGTTTAATTAGATGTAAGTCTTGGAGAAAGTATGTTTGAAGAGGTGAGATATGAATTCATCTGGGGAAAGAACATTCCATACAGAGGGAGCAGAAAGTCTGTATTCAAAATTGTAGAAACAGTATTATAGCTTAAGCAAAGTAAGGAATGTGGAAGAGATGAAGGCAGAGAGGTACAGAGGTGAAAAGTCTTTTTAGTTTTATTTGATCTTTATTCTTGAGATGGAGAACCACTGTTCTGCTTTTTATAGATGTATTTCAGCATAATTTTCTTCATTGGTCTTTCCTTATTGTACCTTGCTATAAAATACAGAATAAGGTGGGTTCCTCATATTAGCCTTTGAGATAATTTCTATTATAGCTCTTCTAAACGTTCTTTTTTAAGACTAAGTATTTTAGGGCCTTTCATTCATTTCTTGTGTTGTGCTCTTTAGACTCCTTAGTATCTCAATCAGATCTGTCTGGGCAAACATTTAGGGTAGCATCAGTGTTGTGGATTTCTTAAAGATTTGCCAAGGTAGATGAAGGATTTAGATGTGAAATTAATGTCTACATAGGAGAACCTGAAAAATTGCACTATCCAAAGGAAATCAATTTCAAATACTTTGTTTAGAATGGGAAACTGTGAAAAGTTCAGAACCTATCAAAGAGACAGTCCAGACAACACAGAGTCCAACTCCAGTTGAAAAGGAGACAGTGGTCACAACCCAGGCAGAGGTTTTCCCTCCACCTGTTGCCATGTTGCAGGTTAGTACTGGGTGGTATTTTCACAAGTATGCTGTTTCACCAATCTGTTTTGACTTACGTATAAAACTTGAAGCAAATTGTCAAGTTAGAACAAGTATTTGTCAGTAGTACTAGGCAAATAATTTTTATTTTAAACCTCTTTTATTAAGACCTTCTGCAGTTGCTGTAGTATTGTTGTGATAATAAACACATGACCTTTATTAAAGCAAAGGTAAATGTGGACGTATTGTTTCCTTAAACTTTCTTGATTTTCTTTAGATTTACATTTTTCTGATAAATTAATAGAACAAGTTATTTCAGTGGGTTTAGTCAAATAGTTTTTGAAAAAATTTTAAAAATGGTTTTATATTTCAACATCTTTGTTTATTGAACAAGTAGTTTTTGAATGCCAGTTCTGAGACATGCACAGTTCTAGGATCCCTGAGGTTAGCGATACATCAGGTCAAAACTCAAATTCCTGCCTTAGTGGAGCTTTCATTTTCGATAGGGGAGACAGGAAATGTAAAATAATAGGATGAGATCCTATGAAAGGGAAACTGAGTAGTGTAAGATTGATCTGGAGTATCTGTTAGGTACTTGGAATTTTTAAAACAATGACCAAGGTAGACCTAATTGAGAATGTGGCATTTGAGTAACAACAGAAAGATGCTGTGAGAATTAAGTGTTGACATCTGAAGAAGAGAATGCCAGGTAGAGGTAAAACCAATGAGAAGGCCCTGTGTCAGGAACATGCTTGGTATATCCCAGGAGTAGAGCAACTACAATGAGCTAAAGTAAAGCCAGTGAGAAGGAGGTTAGTTGAAGATAAACCTCCTTATGGACTTAGGTATACATTCTGAATAAAATGAGCCATTCAAAGATCTTGATCAGAGGAATGATTTGACCCTGATTCAACAGCTTTAAAGGATTGCATGGGCAGCTATCATGAGCATTGATAAAAACAGAATCCAGTTAAAAAGTAATTGTAGCAGTAGGTTGAAAGAGATGGTGACACAGAGAAAAGACCGCTAGCAAATGAGAAGTGGTAGATACTAGATGTATTTTGAAGGTACAACAAGTGAGAATTCCTACAGTATTAGATTTGGAGTTTTAAGAAAAACTAAAGGGTCTCAGAAATTAGAAAAGATGGAGTTAACATGTCTAAGAATAGAAAAGACTGTAGGAAGAGTCCTTTTGGAAAGACAGTTGGACTTCATTTGTTTTGAACATGTTAAGTTTGAAGTGCCTTTTAACAACAAAGTTGAGACATTTAAAAGACAGTTGAATGGACAGTTAATATACTGGAAAGTTGAGACAAATGAAGGTATACTATAGATTAATATTTGAGACTTTTTGAACCTAGAATGAGAGAAGATATTTATGCTGACATTAGAAAATTTGTGAGGCATTTGATCCATTCTGAAACTTTTAGTGACATTTCTTCCTAATGATGATACTACACACATAGGTATTATTAAGCTTAGTAGGAGATGGCAGTTGAAAATTCAACAAGATGGTTATGAATTCACATCATTTGAATTTAAGAAGAACTTTATAATCTCCAAGTAACTATTTGTTGAATAATGCCTTGATTTTATCCTTAAATAGGTTCACTCACTGCTATTCAAGATGGGGGGAAGGCTTAATGTAATGATTTTTGCTACTTTGTTTTTTAAAAAAAGATATAATTTACTGCTAGTCATTATAAGATGTGATCATTGCTGTGACTAAATTGTTTGATAGACTTTTTTCTATCTACAAAAGATTCCAGTAGCACCAGCGGTGCCTACAGTTAGTTTAGTCCCGCCAGCATTTCCTGTGTCGATGCCAGTTCCTCCCCCTGGATTCAGTCCAATCCCTCCACCTCCTTTTCTGCGAGCAAGTTTTAACCCTTCACAGCCACCTCCTGGTAAGGAATTTTCATCTCATTATTTGAACTCTGTTTAGAATATCACTAAAGCTGTTGTTTTTCCACTTTTAAATGCCATAGAGCAGTGGTTCTCAGACCTTGGCATACATCAGAACCACTTACACGGCTTATTTAAGCAGATTCCTGGGCTTAGCCTCTAGAGTTTTTGTTCCATTTGGTCCATGGTGGGGCTGAAGAAATTCATTGCTAGTTTGTTCTCAGAATGAAGAAACCAAATTCCTTTGCAATCATTGAAAATCATTATACTTAATGTAAAATTCGTGTTGAATTTTTTTAGATAAAAGTTAGCAATAATTATCAACCTTTCCTCAGAAGGTTTATATTGAATTCTTCAAAATGTCCTTCCTAAAAATTGCCTTTATTATATTGAAGTCATTATTTTAAAATGCTATTTTGGATAGGTTTTTTTTTTTAATCTTATAAATTGTTGATAAAGAGTTCCCTGGGCAGTGCTTTAACCTAGGTGTTAAAAAGTACGAATTACTTAAATACACATCTTAACAATTAACTATATATAATTGGGATGACAGACATGTACCAACTTGCCCACCTGTTGACTGAGATGGGGTCTCTTGAAAATTTTACCCAGGCTGGCCTCACCTCCATCTTCCTGATCCCAGCCTCCCAAATAACTAAGATTACAGGCATGAGCCACCAGTGCTCACTGTCTATAATTTTAGTTCTTGTCATTGTTCTGAGTTCTTAAAAACTGTCAACAAAAATAAAAAGTAATAGAGGCAGTGAATTTATCATATGCATTTCCTGTGCATATATGGAAATGTTACAGTGAAACTCCTTTGTACAATGAATGTACCATTCATTGAAAAAGAAAAATAAAGCAGTAAAAGAATTAACTGCTACTTAATAAATAAACGAACAATAAATAAATGATTTTTTTAAAGTATGCTGGGCAGTATAACTCCAGTACTTGGGAGGTCTAGGTAGGAAACTAGAAAGTTCAAAGCTAGCCTGGACTACATATAGAGAGACCCTATCTCAAGAAACAAACAAAAAAGGAATAAAAATTAAATTCCTCATCTGAGAATAGTTTATAATTTATTTGTAGAGTTGACACCAAATTTTTAAATTGTAATTTGATACATACTTTGAAATTGAAATATTTTAATAAAAATAGTATTTTTCATACTTTAAATATTGAAGAGTTACTTTTGTCAAATATTTTTGTATTTGTGATTTGAAAATAAAATATTAATTCACAAGATTTTTAAAATAATTATTTCAATAATTATAGCACATCAACTTTACATTTTGTATCATTCATTTATTGAAAAATCACCTATCTTTATTCTTTATTTTTAAGCCCTGTTTTCAGATTGAACTTAATGCTCTCTGTTTGAAAATGCAAAGAAACATATTTATAGTTTGATCATTTGTTTGGTTTTGTTTTCACATTTTTATTGGGGTTGCAAGGGAGGGGCCTCTTCCCCTGTCAGTAGAAATGCCCACAATTTCTTCAGCTACTCCCAGCTGGGCCCTGTGGCCCTGGGGTGCCTGATCATGCCAGGCATGTTCCTGTGATCTAAAGAGCACCTATAACTGGGTAGTTGTAGGTGTGACCTGTTTGGTCATGGGAGCTTACTTGGTGTCGGGGCTAAATGGGTACAGGATTGTAGCAAGGCCTGCAGTGATGATCAGCATGACCAGCATCTGCTCCTTGCACCAGCAATCCTTGAGGAAGGTGGCAAATCCTGCAGGGGTTGCCTGATGACCTCTAACCCTCTTGTGCCACCCATTCCCTGGAGGAGCACCTACATTACTGCTGCATCCCCCTCTGGGATGAACCACATTGCCCTGTGGTGCTCCAGTGTACTTCAGCCTGATCATGTGATCTTTATCATTTTTTAAAAAGCCAGTATTGAAGATTTATTCCAGAGCTCAAATCATAATATTACCCAAGGTTAATGAAAATATTTTGATCTAGTAGGTCAACAGCATGTTTGACAGATGATATTATTACCTGTAATGTAATCCACAGCTTGAACTCTATGCAGTCATTTTTTCTTTTTTGGGAATATGTGGAGTTAGTACTGGTTATTGAACTCGGGTCCTCACACATGCTAGGCAGTCATTGTTCTAATATAAACAGGTTCCCTAGCTTGCATTAATCTTTGATTTTACAGTACCATAGAGCGTACCTCAGAGCTTGAATAAATAAATGAGCAGAATGTAGTTTGCATTACCTACCTTACTTGGGATCAAATAAGGTGGTATATATAAAAGTCATTTTGAGGGCTGCTACTGGGGGGGTTGAACTCAGGCCCTTGTGCTTGCCAAGCACGTGCTCTAACACTCAAGCCTCTCTGCCAGCCCTTTTTGCGTTGGTTATGCCTGGGCTGCCCTGAACTGTCAACCCTATCTGTGCTTCCCTCTGAATAGATAGGATGAATCATTTAGATTTCTAAAATCGAAAATATGTGCACAAATATAAGGGCATGGTAAGGAAAGGCCATTTTAAGGATGTAGAGTTTCACTGGGTGTATGGGTGCATACCTGTAGTGCCAGCTACTCAGGAAAGCTGAAGCAGCACCTTCACTTCAGCGTAAGTAGTTTGGGCAACATAACTAGATCTCCATCTCCAAAAAGAAATGTGGAATTTCATTTATAGCTATTGAAATCTTTGATTCAAAACAAATAATTTGTCTTTTTTTTTAATCCCTTTATTGTGCAGGGTGAGTGTGGCACTTACACAGATTCTTACAATGTATGAACTACATAAAACAAGTAATTTTTCTAAAGCTGTTTTATTTTTGTTTTGTTTTTCCATTAGGTTTCATGCCGCCTCCAGTTCCCCCACCTGTTGTACCACCCCCTGCAATTCCACCAGTGGTACCAACATGTGAGTTTCTACTTCCAGCATTTTCTTTGTCTCTGCTAGTGGTAGTCTCCTGCTTCTCATTCCCATGAATTGTGGTTAATTTTTTATTATGAATATTTTAAATAAATGTATTTGGCTAGGTAATTTCTAAAAATTAACTATATCATGGCAGTCCTTCATTTATACTTGCTCAGTTACCTCAAAATGTCTTTTTATACTTGGCTTTAGTCAGAATTCATAGAATGTTCTCCCATTTGTGTTTTTTGTTTTGCTTTCTTTATTAGTGTCTTCATCTAGAGCTGTCTTCCCCAATCCATCTTCCATTTCATAATTCTTCAGGACAAGCAAAGTGCCTTAGACTCGGTATTACATACGTCAGAAGCCATGTGCATTGTCTTTTTGTTCCATTTTTTAAAAATAGACTCTAGAGAAGATTTAGGTTCATAGCAAAATTGAGTAGAAAGTACAGAAATTTCCCAAATACCCTTGCCCCTGCTCAGCCTTTCCCATTATTATCCTCCCTTCAGAGCAGTACATAGTTACAGTAATGAACTTGCATTGACATACCATTATTACCCAAAGTCCATCCATAGGTTACATTAGGGTTCACGCTTGCTCTCTTGTTCCACTTTTAACATTGTTAAGATGGATCAGAGAATTCAGGTAGAGGAAGTTGGTCATTTAAAATGATTCTTTTCAAGTTTTTATAAGATGATTTAGTTCATCAAGTGTTGTTGCTTAAGTCTATTTGTCATTAGTTACTAATTCTATAATTTCTTTCTAAATCTATAATTTCTTCGCTCAGTTTTTTTTTTTTAAACTTTCTCTTACCAGCTAATGGTATCTAGTTACCTTGAAGTAGTATACAGGAAAATCAGGGTAAATGCTAAATTGTGCCTTTAATTGCCATTTTTCAGAGTGATGAGTTAGTTCTATGGGTAATTCCTTTGGTATCCAGTATCTAAAGAGGGGAAGGATTTCTCTTACTTTTCCTCTTCTGCATCTCCCTTGCCTTCCACTCTTGCCACCTTCTTTTTTCTTCACTTTTTTTTTTGTGTGTGTGTTTATGGATTAATGAATTTTTTACTTCCCAATCAGTTTGCATTCATTGTTCTTTTTGAAGTTCAAATTGAAGATCTTTAATGCTGCTTTTGACTACTATGTCCCCCAACTGATGTCATGTCTGTCTTCTCTAATCTGAGAATCTGTCATTTCTCTAAGGGCGGTGTAGTGTTTACAGACCACATTCTGGAGACTAGATTCTCAGATTGCCCTTGGGATTTCATTGAGTCAAGTAATTTTTAGTGGCCAGTGCTAGAAAATAGCTACTTTGGGAAAAATATGAATATACCCTATGTAACAGATATATTACATACATTACATTTGCTTAAGCTACTTTGTTTTTTGAGCAAAGAGCAGATATTTATTAAGCAGAGAGCAAAAAGAAAAGCCCCCATAATGGAGGGTTCTCAGAAAGGCTAAGCCCCGCTACTTTGACTTTTATGTTTGCCTCTTCTCATACTGAAAATAGTAACAGGAGTACTCACTTTCATTCTCTTATAATACATGTGCATACTGTCACAGTTGTCTTAAGGTGGTAAGACTAAAGTTATTACCAAAAGTAGACTTCTGGATGAAGCTAATGTTTCTCTGCTGTTTTCTTGGCCCTCAGAATACTTGTTCACTAAAACTATGTAATCAAATCGCTGTTACCCAAGGTCACTTGAAATCATTTCCATCTTGTAGTGGCATCAGCTTCTTGTACCACTGCTTTTTTAGCATTTTCATAGAATATGTACCTCAGCCTACCTGGTTTTGACATCTACATTTTCTTATCAGAATAGACATTTCAAAAGGAATACAAAAACTGAAATGTAAATAGCTATGGACATTTATTTTCTGATTCCTATTTCCTTTTTCTGCTGGACATTTCAGAAACATTTAACATGCCCTTTTATTCATTTTTCTTTATATTTTACTTTTTATCTATAGCAATTCTCCAGGCTTCAGAACAAACCTTAATTAACTTGGGCGAGTCTGTTTCAAATATTAAACTCAAAAAGGCCTTTATTATAAAGAGTATGTGCAATAGGGACCTTAACTTTTAGAAATATAATCTGTTTTCCTTATATTCTTTAATATTTTTATTAAATACTAAATATCTCCTAATGTTTTTGTAGCTTTAGAATCTTTTCATTTTTATAGTTAGGAAGAATTATTTATTTCTGAAAATAGAGAAAGTATTCAGAAGTCATTTCTGAATTCACCATTCTCAGAGGTTTATGTTGGACCTGTCACTCACCCAGTTATTCCTAGTTTATTAATTTTGGAAAATCTGACATCAGTTAATAGAGTAAGAAATTCTGATGCTCTTCAGATGCTTGCATTGTCTCAGTGTCATACTTCCTGTTCATGATCTTGTGGCCTTGTCCCTGTTTCACAGCTCTGTTACATGCTAAGTTTGTCCATGTAATTCTAAAGGTGATAGTAGTAAATCTCCAAGTATGATTTAATAGTATTCTAAGTGACATAAATTAGACTAAAAACTGGAGTCATGCATTTTATATTCCTGTAGTTCTGCATTTTTAACATAGATGACACATACACTTAGGGATTTTTCTATGAATTTTTAAAAATGGAATGTCATAGTTTTATTTGTATATAGTTTTACTTGTATAGTCCACTTTGCCTATTCTCATCAGAGTTTCTCAGCTTATTTGACAAAAGGTAATGTATGTCAATACCCTAGAACATGATAATTTCAAGGAGATTGGGAAGATTTTCCCACTCTGTACTAATCCTTTCTGCCAGTCACTTACCTGGCATCCTTGGTAAATTAATTTCTTGTGCTGCTAGATCTTAATTCTTCACTACTAATTATTATTTTACTAAACACTTTGATTGAAAATATTTCTTAAAATAGTTGGTTTTCCCTATTTTTAAAAAATAAAGCTTTCTCAATATAATTTAGCTTCTTCATGATGACTTTAGTCACTTTGATCATTAGTTTTTATAGTAGTGTTGAGGAATATGCAGATAACCATTTAGTGAAATACTTAAGCTCCCAGAAAACTGAAATGCATTTTTCTCCATTTTAAATAGCTCTAGTGCAACCACCATTGTCCATGACTCCAGAAACTGTGAAAGATGTTGGATTTGGGAGCCTTGTTTTACCAGGCGGTTCTGTTGCCAGCAGTCTTGCTACTTCCACTCTACCAGCTGGAAATGTTTTTAATCCTCCAACTAAACAAGCAGAACCTGAAGAAAAAGTACCTCATCTTATAGAACACCAGATTTCTTCAGGTGAAAACACCAGATCAGGTGAAAAAAAAACTTAAATCTCATAAACATTTCACTATATTAAAGCTTATTTTGGAGGTGGCTTGTGTTTATAATCAGTTCAGTGCACAAATGTTGAAACATTGTAATTTTTTGAAAAAGATCACTATGTCCTCCAACTTGTGTAACATAGATTTCAACAACTTTCCATTAACACCTCCCCATGCCTTTTGACCTATTTGGTTAAAAGTATATTGCTTCAGTGTATTGTCAAAATAAGATTGTACGTAATATATATTTATAATGATATAAAAATGAATAACTAATAGGTGTTAATAACTTCTACCAGAAACTTTATTAACAGCTCTACTTGGGTTTGTTTTTGTTTTCTGGTGGAGCTGCGTGTTGAACCCAAGGCCTTGTGTATGCTGGACAAGTGCTATACCACTGAACTACCTCCCTAACCTCTCTTACAATATTAAGTTTTAATATTTAAATTTCACTCTGCATAGTATTCATGATTTTAAGTTTAATGTATACTTTTTGTAGAGTGCAGGTTGATCCTTAGAGAATAGAAATAGCTTTTTAACTAATTACTGGAAACTGTAGCATTAATAATTTTTAAATGTTGTTTCCTTTTCATTCTGGAATAACTGTGGTTTTGGATTATTTCTCCTCTTTCTGTTTTAGTGATTCCAAATGATATTCCAAGTAACGCTGCAATTTTAGGAGGACAGCCGCCTAATGTTACAAGCAATTCTGTAATTCTGGGAGTCCAAAGACCAAATGTATCAAGTAATTCTGAAATTCTTGGGGTTCGGCCAGTTAATGTTTCAAGTAGTTCTGGGATTATTGCAGCCCAACCACCAAATATTCTGAATCACTCTGGAATTTTGGGAATACAACCACCAAGTGTTTCCAGTAGTTCTGGACTTTTGGGAGTACTACCCCCAAACATGCCTAATAATTCTGGACTTGTAGGAGTACAGCCACCAAATGTTACAAATGCTTCTGGACTTTTGGGAACACAGCCACCAGCTGGACCTCAAAACTTACCCCCTTTAAATATCCCTAATCAAAGGATGCCTGCATTGCCAATGTTAGATATTCGTCCAGGACTGATACCACAGGCACCTGGACCAAGATTCCCTTTAATACAGCCTGGAATTCCACCCCAACGGGGAATCCCTCCCCCATCGGTACTTGATTCACCTCTTCATCCACCACCCCGTGGACCGTTTCCTCCAGCAGATATTTTCAGTCATCCAGAAAGACCATTTCTAGCTCCTGGAAGACAAAGTGTAGACAATGTTACCAACCCAGACAAAAGGATACCACTTGGAAATGATAACATCCAACAGGAGGGAGATAGAGATTACCGGTTTCCTCCTATAGAAACCAGGGAGGGCATTAGCAGACCTCCCCCAGTGGATGTTAGGGATGTGGTTGGACGGCCTATAGATCCAAGAGAAGGTCCTGGGAGGCCTCCACTAGATGGTAGGGATCATTTTGGAAGACCTCCTGTAGATATGAGAGAGAATCTTGTGAGGCCAGGTATTGATCATCATCTTGGTCGAAGAGACCACTTCGGCTTTACTCCAGAGAAGCCCTGGGGGCATAGAGGTGATTTTGATGAGAGAGAACATCGGGTTCTACCTGTCTATGGTGGTCCAAAAGGCTTACATGAAGAAAGAGGTAGATTTCGAGCTGGAAACTATCGATTTGATCCTAGAAGTGGTCCGTGGAACAGAGGATTTGGACAAGAAGTTCACAGAGATTTTGATGACCGAAGAAGACCCTGGGAGAGGCAGAGGGATAGGGACGACAGAGATTTTGATTTCTGCAGAGAAATAAATGGAAATCGTCTTGGACGTGAAAGAATTCAAAACACTTGGGTCCCTCCTCCCCATACTCGGGTTTTTGATTATTTTGAAGGGGCCACTTCTCAAAGAAAAGGTGATAATGTGCCTCAGGTTAATGGTGAAAATACAGAGAGACATGCTCAGCCACCGCCTTTGCCAGTGCAGAATGATCCTGAACTCTATGAAAAACTGACATCTTCAAGTGAGATAAGCAAGGAGAAGACTGACACAGTTGCTGATATAGAAAGTGAACCAGTGGTGGTAGAAAGCACAGAAACTGAGGGGACATAATCATCGCTCAGTAGGTAAAAGATACCTTTTGTAAAGTTGTCATCTCTCTGTAATAGATTAATGGCTGACTGGACCATAGTTGTTCACTTTTGTCTGCCAGAATTAAGTTAATCTGATGTTCATGTTCACCTTTCTCTTAAAATAATTGTACAACTGACTTGTATAGACATTGTTCTTAATATGAACATGGTAGGTAAACATTTTTTTATTTTTCTGATAAAATATAAATGTTGCCCCCAGATTCTTTTACGTCAAGGAAATGAATAACAGCTTGTCAGAGACTTCCTATGGAAGAAAGAATTTTTTAGATAACTATCATTAGGTTGGATATGGTAATAGATATATTTCAAATTAGCAAGTGGTGGTATATCTTATCCATATCTCTAGGCTGCTGCAGAATTTTAAGGTAATAGACAAAGCTGTGATATTTTATGCAAAGACTGGCTCTAGCTACTTGAGGAGCATAAGACAGAGATTTTAAAAAGTGATTTTGTAAAATCTACACTATGGTCTCTGTTACTCCAAAGTAAGTGTGTGTGATTTGTTCCTCATACTGCAGTGAGTAAAAAAGAAAAAAGCAAACAACATAAATATTAAAGTACGTTTCAATGTTGGGTGAATTTTGTTTTTAGATGCCAATAAAACTTACTTGTTTGATAACAGTGTTCTAGGAATTGTATTTTTTCAACCTACAAATTCTTAAAACCATGAATCATAAGTAGCATGTGCTTAGTTGTGACAGTTCTCTGTTACTCTCATAACAGCAGTGAAGAGCTGTGGTGATACAAGCATGTACTTGGATATGCAAATCATGCTGTCTCATTAGCATGTATATAATACCGTGTGTGTCTGTTGTGTAAGTCATGAAGTTTTTGTTTCTCTGTATGTCTATCTCCATGCACATACCGAGAAAAATAGAAAGTTAAAAAAAGTTTAGGTTATAAAATATTTTTTAAAACCTGACAAAAAGATTAGAAAAATTTGGCAAATGAATATTGCTTATACTTAGCTCTTAATCTTGATGAAGGTAAAATAAGAACTATTGTAAAGAAATACATTGGCAGGTTGGTAGTTCTTTTTTTAAATACAGTTTAGCATGAAGCCAGATTTAGCATGGAGCCAAATTTCATGTAAATGCTTGCATTGCTTTGTTCACACTATATTTGCTATTTTGCATAGAACTAGCACTGGAAAACTTACTAGTTCATGTTCCTGACATGGATTTTTTAATTGCATAAAATGGATATTGGTGTTGATGGACTTAAAGATAGTAGTTTGTATACCAGGAACAAAGTGTCACTAGTGTGTTTCTTAAGTTCTGGGAAACACTTGTTCAGAATAGCGTCTGAGGTAAACTGAAGAGAATAATTTGGGGTTGGTTCCTTGTTTGTTTTTGCCTTTAAGTTTTATTTATTTGCTGTTTTTCTTTTGGGTTTTCCATATACGTATATAAAATCATTGGTGCGTTTTGGTTTCTAATGGAAGGCTTTCATTTGGTTCTATGAACAGTCATTTTCTTTACTATGCATTTCCAACTATTCATCATTTACTCTATCTAAAATTCCTTAGCTATGTTTGTCAAATCTCCAAAAATAAGATAGCACACCAGCCATATAAAATAGGATTGATTTTGCTTACCTTCACTGACCTAGGAAAGTGTAGGAACTTCTAGATTCTTGGCCGAAAAATAAAGTCTCTTCTTTACAAGGTCTGAATAGAAGTAGATAGTACATTATTTATTCTGTTATTTGGAAAAGCAGGTGACAGTAGAAAGGTTTAAATGGTGTTTTATTTCCTAGGTAATTCAGTCAGTAATTTGAGTTGGTTTCACGTCTTTTCCTTAATAAGGAAAAATTGCAACATTGGTACAAAGTTTTAATGTTCAGGAAAAATTGGCCTTGTGCTTAAGGAAATAATATGGACTAAAATTTCTCTCAAAAAACTTTAGTTGCATTTTACTATGATTAAAATTCAAGTGACTTGTCACTTGGATTAAGTAGCAATAAAAATATATATATATATAAGACTTTCTAGTGATTTTTGATCCCAAGCTTTTCATAACTGTTGGACATTCATGTGGGTACTTGAAAACAAAATAAATACAAGTGTCTCACTGGTTTGAAGGTTGTAGAAGGTAAAAGTTGTCTGTACTGAAATCCATCTTGAAAATGTACAATGATACTTTCAAGATAGCTAAGTAGAAATTATGTGCTTGTTGTTACTTTGTTCTTGTTTTGTTATATAGTATTTAAGTGAAAGGCATTTATTCATTCTCTTACTAAATTTCCTAACCTGATAACTTACATTCATCATTTAAAAAATTCAGGATAGAAAAATTGACTGATTTACTTCATTAAGTTTAGCCTAGAACCTACCATGCTTTCGATGCTTTTGTTCACAGTTCTATCATTAGAATGACAACAATTAAAAATGCAAAAAGAGTAGCATACCTCCTTTCATACAGTGGTTTGAGGTGCTGCAGGCAGTAACTACATTAGATACTGAAAATAGTGCTTTTTGTTTTGTTTGTTGGTGGGGATTGAATGCAGGGCCTTATGCTTGCCAAGCAAGTACTCTGTAACACTGAGCTACACCTACAACCCCACATAGGGTTTTAATGTGTGATGTGAGAACGTGCTGATTTTTTTGTAAATGTCTAAACATTTCATGGGCTTCTGTTCTTAGCATCAGTGTTTATACAGTACTTGATAATTTATACTGTAAATAGAAACTTATTTTACAACTAAGTAGCCTTTTTTGCTTCATGTTCTAGGTAGGATGCTCTATTCTAGTTTTATTTCAGTGTAGTGTTGATAAATACTTTTGAAGTATTGGAAGATAGAAATAGTTTGAAATTACTCATTTAAAACTCTAGAAGTAACTTTTTGCATTGGTATAATCAATTATTTAATATATTATTTTACTAAAACAGCTCCTTGTCCTATGATTTTCATTGCTTCATTAAATTTATTCGCTATCTTTCCCTTATATAAAACATCATATTTACCAGGCACTGATGGCTCACACCTGTAATCTTAGATAATTGGGAGACTGAGATTGGGAAGGTTGCAGTTCAAGTCCTGCCCAGAGAAATAGTTAGCAAAACCCCATCTCCAAAGTAACCGCAGCAAAAATGGACTGGAGGTGTGGCTCAAGCAATAGAGCACCTGCTTTGTAAGCAAAAAGCCCTGAGTTCAAACCCCAATTCCACCCAAAAAAGATTGTTTCCTGGCAAGGGACAGTATTGTTGTATTTTAAAAGGAAAAAACAAATTCAAATTTTTTAATTTGAAGAACATGGTTTATTTTGTAAACACTGTATTTCATTGGATATGAGATGCCGTTAATTTTAAGATGTACTGTTCAGAAATAGAAAATGCTTCCCTAATGATTGTAAAATATTTTAATTCAGAGATGCTGAAAATTACAAAGGGTCAGAGAATCAATATATAAGATTTATTATTGAAATAGACATTCAGTTCGATGAGAGGTATATTACTGTTATTCAATGAATTTGAATAAATTTTCTGCCCACTTAAGTTTTCATACAGACTCATATTAGGTGATACAGAGAATATTTTGATGTTTTTCCTCACTGTATATAGATAGGCACAGCTTTTAATGAATAAGGAAATTTTAGATTCAATTAAAAATAATTTTGTTAAAACTGTGTGCCTTCATGTTAGTGTGGGATATTATTTACTGGGTGCTATATTAATGAAATGTTTCAATACCTTTTAATTTTGAATGAAAAATATTAATATTTTCTTTAAAAATATTTTAATACAGGAGGGAAAAGCACAGTATCTGTACATTCATTTTTAATATAGGCAAAACAGAACACAACTATTTTAAGTAATCATAGATACTGTAGTGTGGCAGAAAATTATAAATGTTTCCTTAATTGTTTTTGCTATTGTTTTACTTATATAAAACATCTTCTAAGCTATAATTTAAATTAGAGGCATTAAAGCTTTTTTTTTCATTTCTGAAAAAATCATGGTCATTGTAATTTTTCACAGAGGTTTAAAAACAAGATAATTTGATGCAACAAAAATTTTTGAAGCTAGAAATTAAAATGAATCATTTTGCTTTTGGTGTGTGTGAGGGTCATACTTTGAATAGAGACTTACATGTATTGAAAGCAATTTGAAATTTGCTCTCTGTGGAACTCTGAAAACTATAATGGTGGATGTCATTACATTTCTCAATAAGGGATCTTCTGAGATAATACTTATGCATAAATTATACCTATACCTGCCTGGGTACATTTGTTTTTTTAAATCCTCACATAACTTCCATTTTAATTAAAATAAGTAAATCTTTATTATACCATACACTTAAGATTTGTAAATCTTTATACCATGTATTTAAGACTCTTAAATTTTTTAAATTATTTTCATTTTATAGAACTAGTTCTAATGATAAAGAAAGTAACACAATCAGTTGTGACATTTGGTGTTAGAGGATGAATAAAAATAGAGAAGTCATCTCTCATAGTTTAAATTCAAACTTTAAAAGTGAACTGTTACAAGAAAGGGATGGAGACAAAGCTTGTAAGGTAGTTTTGTAGTTAGTATTTCTGACTCAAGTGGACCTTTTTAAACAGGATATCTCCAAGAAAAATTTATTTGATACCAGATAATTAATAATAGAATTTGAGTGACAAAGTTGTGTTAAACTTATCAGGGGCTAGTAGTAGTGTTAATAAAGACTTCTGAGATGTAAGTTGCACATTCAAAACTTAACGCAGACTGAGCACCACAACTTACCCTTATAATCCCAACTACTTGGAGGCAGAAACCAGGCAGATGTCCATTTGAACAAATGCCTGAGCAAAAAGTTAGAGAGCGATCCTGTGTCAGTCAGTAAGCCAGGTGTGGTGGTACATACCTGGTCTCAGCTGTGCAGCAGGCCTTAGGTATATAAAATCCTGCTCTGAGGCCGGCTTCTGGCAAAAACACTGGACCCTCTCTGAAAAACAGCTAAAGCAAAAAGGCTTGGGAGCATGGTTCATATTGTAGAGCACCTACAGTTGCAAGTGCAAGGTCCTGAGTTCAAACCCTAGTACCAACAAAATAAAAAATGCAAGTCATTGGTTTATTTGGGTGGGATCTTTGCTAAGACATTGTTCTTCTACTAATTCCCTCCTTTTTCAGCGACTCTTCATCCCATGTGTACACTTTGAATTACTCTGCCTTGTTTTAAAGATTATTTAAGTTACAGAACAAGTATTCTATGTAATATTTTATAAGTATATATAGTATATCAAGTGGGAGAAATGGATTAGTTTCATAATGTGTAAAAGACGTTAGATGCTTCTTGAAGAAAACAGTGATTTTGCACAGCACTCAGTAGATGATTTAATGAGTGTACAGTTGTCCCTTGGTATCAGTGAGGGATTGGTCCCAGAACAATATTCTTGGGTACCAAAATCTGCAACTGTCCAGTCCCTCATAGAAAATAGCATAGTATTTGCATGTAAGTTAAGTACATCCTCCCATCTACGTTAAGTCATCTCTAGATTACTTAAAATGCCTAATACAGTATAAGTGACATGTAAAGTTGTTTGTAATATATTGTTCAGGGCATAGTGACAAGGAAAAAAGAACATGCTCAGTGAGGTGCAGTTTTTCCCAGTGTTTTTCATCTGAAGTTGAT